CTCCCTTTCTTTATAGCTTCTCACTTTTTACTTTGTTTGTTTTAAGCGTCCTGCTGTCGTGGGATTCTTCTCGTCCTGTAATATAGGGGCGCTTACCGATCAGGTTACGTACTTGCTGGTACAACATGAACTGTGTTTGGCGTTACACGATCGGTGAGCGTCCGCTGCCATAGTTTGTATAGTCCGTCGCAATCGGCAGAACAACGAGATTGTGGCTCAGTGATTAGGACGACCCTAATAGCAGTTTGTAAACTTGTAGAACGCTCTCGGTATGTCAACTCATACACACAAATTATCTCACATTTCATTGTCTGACATGTCCATGCAAAGATAGGTCAGTACACCTGAATGTGAATGCGTGCAATCTGATTGGCTACTTCAACTGCTGTCCATCGATGGACAGGTCGCGGGTTCGAGCCTCAGAGGTCCCAAAACCCGAGGTTGGGTATAACTGGCTGAGGACGGCTAACAAACCAGAAATTGGCATCTGCTCCGACTGCCTTAGCGTTTAGTACTAGTCGTCGCTATGCGAATGCCGACAGGGGCTCTGACTTGAGCCTCCGAGGCGCAACGGAACGGGCATGCCCCCTAACCCAACCGGCGAAAGTTATTCTGATCGCAAACGGCCCGGTGGCTGAATTGGTAGAGCAAAGGACTCACGTACCACAAACTTACGTTTGGGTATGGCTGGCTAGTGATCGGAAATAGCGACCCTGATTTACACATTGTTTTGTCTCTACGGCTTATCTCCCGCTACGGTTTAAAAGCATCTCAACCAATTAGTATCAAACTGGGTATTCGGAGTAAATGACAGAAGCCCCGAAAACTCAATTTAAACAGTGCAGGTATGTACTTATGGCACTCAAACTTTACACGTCTTTCTGTATGAGGAATACATAAAAATAATCCTGGAAAGTAAATGTTAGAAAGGTGCGGCATTTGCGAAATGTTAGCAAATGCCATGTTCACTGCATTTGTACAATCACATTTTAATCAAAGGTAATTTAAGCAAAGCGATCTACTGAAATCAAGGGAGTAGCGTGTGTTGCTTGTAGTTATCTCAGAAACGCAGTAGATAGGGTGTGCGGAGTTCGGATCGACCGCTAACAGTTAATTATCCACACATCTCTTGAGCACACTGACAGTAGGGAAGAGCACGACACACACTTCGCTAGTCACTGTAGATGAGGTCTGGGTAGGCGAATGTGTCATGGTTATCTTTTTGATATAG